TAAATGTTTAGTTGGCAATATTAAATTAAGTATTTACTAAAATCGACTTTTTTTTAAGTTTAATAAAAAATTATATTTAAAATATTTTATAATTTATGTAACATAATTACAAATAAATAATGAAACTTTAATTTTTAATTCCGATTTTATATAAACTTTATTTTAATAAAAATGTGGCTTATATCTTGTAACAATTGAATTATATAATATATTAATTAGAATGGATTAAAGAGAATTTTGACATGAAAGATGATAATAATTAGGTACATTATATACATATTTTATATGATGATATATACCTTTTTTTACTACAATTTCCATGTTACACAACTCTAACAAGCTAAAATTAATACTTGACATTACGAAAACAACAAGATGAAATTCTGAAGCCGTTCACTCACGTAATAATTATTTAAACAAGTATGTAATTATATGTTATGCTTACAATTATATACTTACAGTGAAATCACTGTGTTATTAAAAAAGATGAATATCATATTCTGTATTTCTTCATATCAAGGTTAAATTAATATGATTAATCAAAATTGTTATATATGTTACATATTTTTATATATTATTTTTTTATATATTCTTTTTCATTTATATTTTAAATATAAAAATTTTTTAATTCCTTTACTTTTAATAATAGCCATCAGTCGACTATATCATATCAAATATAAATCTTCTTGATTATTTATTCTCTATTGCCATTATTTCATATATTTTGTTCTTTGTACGTCAGACTTCTTTTAAAACAGCACGTAATTATATTTTTATTAAAACAGCGTGTAATTGTTCAAGTTTCATTATCGTTTGACATTAAAAGTCAGCTTCAAGTATCAAGGCAACGATACACAAACAAGATGTACGAGTATGCGATAAGCAAATAAACATTTTGGTTTTGCTGCTGTTTATGTTTTTTGCCTTACATTTTTTGTATGTCATAAATTCAAAAATTTTTTTGTATGTTTTAGAACCAAAAATAAAAATTTTTAACCATGTCTATTATACAAAATATTAACCTATAAACTATGTATGAGATGCTCAAATAAATAATTGAATCATAAGAATTGTTGGATTAAATCTTCCTTATCTAACAAGGTAATGGATTCAAGAACTTTTTTTTTTATTTTAATATGTGCTTTGGATATGTTATGCTATTAGCAAAATAAAATTTTAAGTGTAATATGTTATGCTATCAGCAAAATAAGATTTTAAATATTCTGATGTATATGAAGGATAAAACATTATTTAAAAAAGTCGAATCTTATGTTTCTAAGAACTATCATTGAAAAGAGATATAAAAAAATATTTTAAACGAATTTTTGTACTAAACTTTTTCGTCTCAAAACTTCGTCTTATTTAAAATAATATTTCCTAGATAAGCGTACGTTATTTGTTTTTTCTTCTCTCGTTTCGTCTTTTCTCGAAAAAATCGAAGAATGTCAGTTGCGATTAAAACGCTGTCTCATTATATAAATGAATGTTTTAAATAAATAGAACGCGATAATCTCGAACGTCTGGAGATAAAATTTCAGAATTTGAAGGAAGAATATCAGTTCCTTGAGATAAGAAAAGTTTATCAATCATTTGTTTTTGTTGAAAATAAATCGCGGTATATTGATGTTTTCTCGTTTCGCCTTGTTTCTAATTCTGTAATGCATCACTAACTTGTTGTGTGCATAATTAATTTCTTATTTTTTGAATAAATCTTAATATCAAATTAATGTTTAAGTTATTAGTCAATTTTTGTAAATACAATTTTAATAAATATGTTATTATTATGTGTAAAAATTATATTATGCTTATATTTGTTATTCTCATATATGTAAATAAATATCTCATATATATATATATATATACATA